TGTCGTCCGCTCGTCCTTTTGGATGTTACCTGCGTCATGAATGTTTCGATCTGGCTGTAATTGGCAATTGTCTTATTCAGCTATTCGCGTCGTAACCACCGTAAGGATTGTATTACGGTAGTGTGGCTACGCTAGTTGCGGGTGTCAGTGGTCAAACGTGGGTGATATCTATATCGAGTCTTGTTTCTATTTCTTTTCTATTCTATTTCCTCTTCTTTTGGCCTTCGAGTAGCGTTACCGTCTTCTTTAGTATGGCTGCGCCACCTCGAAATGCCTGTTTTAACTGTGGTCAACTGGGTCATTGGTCTCGGGAGTGTCCACACCCGAGGACAGCGTATCAGAGGCCTCCCGTGGCGACGGGGGCAAATGCGGAGCCTATTTTGGCATTGCCGGCTCCGAGCTCGCAACCTCCTGCCGTGGCTCCTCCGGCTGCTGTCAATACGTATGCTGCGCAGCCTCGTTCTGGATGGTGGAATCGTAATCAGCAGATTCTTGATAAGTGCAATGCTTTCGTCAGCAAGGCTGAGCAAAAAGATAGGAATGAGCAGGCCGCGGAGGAGCGGCTGAAGCATCAGCGGGAAAAGGAGGGGGAGGCGGCCCGGATTAAGAAGGAGCGAGAAGAATTTGAAAACCAAAYGRRGGAACGATTGGAGAATAGGTTGGCTACTATGTATGACTCMATCATGGGGAAGGGTGTCAACAAGGCCAGYAGTAGTTCAGTTGAGGAGGAGGTTAGTCGTCTTCGACGTGAGAACGAAGAACTGCGCACCAAGTATAGAATTACGGAGCAGTTGCCAACAACAAATCTTGTGGACCGTTTACAGAAGGAGAATGGAAAGCTCAAGAAGTTCGGGGAGGAGTTGAAGTTACGTATGGAGGGGGACCTCGCGGCGTTGAAATGGGAAATCCGGGGTCTCAAGGGGCATCACGAATCAGCAGGGAGAAGCTGTCTAACCAAGCAAATCGAGGAATTGCGCGTGGAGATGGAGGAGGCACTGCGGAAACGGAATGAAGAATATGAGGAGGTTGCGCATCTATGGAGAAATGAAGCCCTTCAACCTGGTAACAAACGTGGTAGTATCAACATTTCGACTCCCATGAGTGAAGGCCGCACGGCGACTCGGTCCAGGCTGGAGGGTACTCCGGAGGAGACTCGGCGCTTACGGGCTGAGTTACAGGATCTGCAGGAGCGGCGCCGTTGCGACTTGACTGAGGTTGATATGCTTAAGGAGCGTCGCGCAAAGGCGGAAGCCAAACGCCTTGAGGCGGAAGCGGAGCTCTCTCGGCTACGAGAGCAAATGGCGTTGTTATCTACTGAGCAGACGGGTGGAGCTACTCCTCGTGGTGTAGGTACGAACCTCAAGGAAAAGATGGAGGAGGCCGTGAATACCGGGTTTCGTACGGGTAGGCGTGGTAGGGTGAGATGACACCAGGGAGAATGCCGAGGGACGACAGTGCCAGGGAGGCCAATGATAGATTCGTTTTCTTACAGGAGGTCTGGAAGAGGCTTAAGGCTCTCAAGAAAGGAGGCCTGGAACCGTTGTGCAAAGAAGCTGGGATTAAGTACAAAACGGTGGAGATTACTGTGGACGAGTTAGCAGAGCTCAATGCAGAGAAAGTGTTTGGCGGTAGTAGCAGTTCGAAGGACAAGGCAGATGCAGGGCAAGATCAAGGTAAGTCGGCTTCTGGTGGTAGTAGCGTTGTGGTTGTGGAGGAGGTCCCATCGGACTCCGCTTGATGGGACTTCCGAAATGCGACACTATGGAAGTTGGCTAAATCTTGTCGGGATCATAGGTCTTCCTCTACTTCTTCTCTAAGAAACGGTCTGCCCGACCCATTCGGAGTGTGGTGTTGGCGCAAGCAAGAAAGCTGCACAGGCAATTAATCAAACGTTATGGGATCTGCCCTCGGCTACCAATTTTAATTTGAAGAGCATGGCTGAGTTGGCCTTGACAGTGGGCAGGGTCAATAAGGAGTTGAGGAAAGGGGAAATTTTTGTTAGTGCCGCATTTGATATTAAAGAAATGTTTTGCAATTTACCACATGGGTCTATTATGGACGCAGTGAGGTGGGTTGTGGATTTCTGGGTAATCAGAGGTTGCACGGGGGTACTGGTCAAAGCGAGGGGCAAAGGGGCAAAATTGAGGTTTGGAGGAGTACAKATAGGATGGAACTCGATACCTTTTGATGTTCTTGTTGATTTCATAACTTTTGACTTGGACTGTACATTTTTTAAGGCTTGTGGACAGGTTTTGCAGCAGAAGGTGGGGATTCCAATGGGAAAATCGTCTAGCCCAGCCCTGGCCTGTTTGTTGTGCGCCTACAATGAGTTYCGTTTTCTTTCGTCTCTGGGATGTGATAGGAAGCTGGTCAATGGAATTCGAATGGTGGATGATGTCTCCATCCTGGTGCGTTACAATGATGGGGATGCACAGTCGCTTGCGMGGGCTCAGTCTATTTTAACGAAATTCAGAGTCTGTTATRATTCTAATTTGGTTTTGGAGCAGACCRGTGATGGGGATWGCTGGGATTTCCTAGGCTGTGTGTTGAAGGTTCTGGATTGGCCGTGGGGGGTTCAGTGTGTGGCATTACATAAGAATCAGAGGAACTTCGGAGATACTGAGCTGCATTTTCAAAATCTAAAAACTCTTTTTCGAGCAGGCAACAGAAGATGGCGGTGATTAGTTCATGTCTGCACAGGGCCAAGGCCTACACCACCATGACTGGTATGGAGGTGGCTTTTCTCCTTGCTTTGAAGATTGAGTTGAGAAAGAGTGGCTTCCCGGACGACTATTTCGATGACGCTTTGCGGAATTTTTCGAGAAATTTTGGGGGCATTTGGGGGGATTGGGTTATATGTTTGACGGGGTGGGGGGAGTTGTTTCATGGGGTCAGGGTCAAGGGCCTTCAGAGGAAGGGTTGCAATCAGGGGGTTCGGTTGCCAGGTGTCGTAGGGAAAGGGGTACTGTAAATTGGGGGCACCCTGTCTACCGTGTTGAGGTGGGTCAGGTGGCTCAGGTAGGGTGGCTTGTAGCATAGGACCATGGTGCACTCTGTCTGCCGCATTGAGGTAGGTCAGGTGGCTTGCGGCCGGTGGCACGCATTGTAGGATTGTGCGGATTTGC